AAGATATGAATCTATTTTAAATAATAATATTGATACGTCGCGGTAATTGGTCGGTATACGATAGGGTCGTCGAGATAAATATTATATTTCCAGTTTATGTCTGCGAAATGCGTAATCGGTAATCGGCTTAATTTTTTTCTTTATCGATTGATGAAATCAATGTCAACGAACGTCTATTCGATTGACAACGGCATAGGCATTTAATATAGTCGATCACGTGGTCTCATACGACGTACTGTAACAATATTATTGAACAATTTAATTTATGAAGGAGTTGTAAATTGTAATACAATAACCATAAAACGGTATGAAATGAATAATTTGAAAAGTTTGTATCGGATTGTCGTTTTATAGTTGGTTTTGTACTCTCGTTGAAGCTTGTTTCGTAGCAGATATAATATGCGCTATCTGCGTTTCGTCCTGATCCCGGTTGCCGTTCATCATTTTTCCATCACTTGTTGGCTTTATCGCTCGCCACAAATTGTTAATCGCCTATTATTAATTTGAGACAATTGGCCATAACGAATACGCGTATAAAACGTTTCGTTCCAATCGATAATCACGTTAATTAACGCGATTTGTGCGGAACACAACATAACAATAATATTATAGAACGCACATCGAAATTTCGAAATGTTTTCGAGTATAATATTATATTATGCATTATAGGTAGCAGCAACCGTTTGGCGGGATTCACCTTCCATTTCGGATTTCGATTTGCAGTTCCACCTCTTTATCATTACGTTATATTAGTCGTCTAACCCGATTTGTTGTTTTTGATTTAATTTGTTTTTTGTACCTTCCCAAACCGACCGGTCTCGAAGAACCACAGAGTCGGTACCGCGCCGACAAAGTGTAAACCGGTTGTCCGCGACTGGGCGACCGCCGCGCATCTTCTGCAGTCCCGAATCGCGCAACAATGTATGTATTGTACGTGCTCGTACACCGGTCACGCAAAACCGAATTTCTCATGGGCCGGTCCGCGTGAATAATGATAATAATAATAATAATAATAATAATAATCGCGGAATGTCCAGCTGTGCGGTGCGACACATCGTATTATATAATAATATCGTGCACATTGTGCTCCGTAGATTATAATACGGCTAACTGTTGCCCAGGTCGGGCGTCGATTGTGTCGGGTCGCGCGCGCGAGCGAATCTTCCTTACGCAAACACGCACACCACGCGACCTTAAAAAAATAATAATTTATATAAACGTTATCAAAAGACGCACGTGTGCAGTGTGCTGCAGTCGTGTTGTTGTGACGACGACGCCCATTTATACGTTACAATACGTCGCGTCGTAAATCTTACAATAAAATGCGAATCCTGTGCAAAAATCGTCACGAATGTATAAACATTATAGTGTCGGCCAACGATATGGATATCACAGATTTCTTATTAGATGTATTCCATACCTGATGTCTGAGGAAAATTATCGAAAAATATTGTGCAGCAATATACCTACTTAATATAAAAAATAAACGTTATACATCTTTTATTACTTGTACTTGTAGACTGTAGTCGGGCTACAGTGATTGTAATGATTTTCAACGTGATCTTATAGTAGAAATGAACTTAATAACAACAATGTCCTATATAGCTAATATATAACAATGTCTATTTTAAAAATTATGTAATCTTGGGTTAAGTGAACTTTCAATAAAAAAAAAAATTATGTTTAAAGTCCGTTAATTCCGGAGATTCGTGATAATAACTAGTATACAAACATTTAAAATGGTCTATTTAAATTTTATTATAGGTATATATCACGAGAAAAAATATTAGATTAAATGGCGCTAGATTGAAAAGAATATGAATATTATTAAGAAATAAACAACATTTTTTCCGCTCAATAAATATTTAAAAAAAAAAAATAGAATGCATAAATACAATTATTAACGTCCCTTGCCCGAGAACAATTTTTTTTTTTAAACTGCCAAACAACAACGATGGCGTATTGACTTATATTATATTAAGGTGCAGAAACCTATTTATATATATATATAAGTATATATACACCGGCGAGAGACCCATAAGCGCGTCTGGGGGAGAAAACGACGTGTATTTTTCACCCGACAGAGCCCCACCGCGCTCATTGTGCGTCCGCGGAGAGACGTGATTGACAAGTACATTTGCATTATACACCGGGCGCGGCAGTTCCGGAGCAGTCGTCACCACCACCGCCACTTCCATATTACCACTGCCTCCGGTGTCGCCAGATCCGTGTGCAATAATATACGCGTCACGAGACGCGGAGTCTAGACGCGACGCGGGCGAGTGGCAGAGAGGAAACCAGTCCGGTGTGTGGCATTGTTGTATAGGATTTTCGGAGCCCAGACGACGGGGTCTTGCCGCGGTCCAGCTTTTGGAGCACAATAGAGCTACGGCGCTGTGCGTAATTATTATTATAGCAGTCGAAAATCAGCGGTGGTTGACCGAGTGGTTAAGATCAAAAACCGGAACGCGTTTTGAATTTCCGTAGGCGTATACTTACGAATATACGATTCGTTTTGACCATGGTCTAGGTCATTAAATCGGTTTCTGATATCATAATATTATACCTATATAATGTACCTAATAATTATATTCCATTTTTGTGGGTATAATAATAATAATAATAGCATAGATATTGATAACAATAATGTGCATGATATTATAATATTTAGGTCACCAATATTACCGGACATTTTATACCTACATAAATACAAATTACATAATGTTCTATATAACATATTATAACCATGGAACGATCAGCCAAATGCATAATATTTTGTCAAAACGATGTTTCCGCAAATGCACGACGTCTGTGTTTTTCATCTTATTATTATTGTTATCTTTGCGAATGACCATTCTCAAAGAGTTTTACGAATACTACGTGACAGCCAGTTATTCGAACAAACGATATCATATCATAAATAATAAGTTTAAATCACTATATTATAACAATTCATTTCAAATTTGTAATATATGTTATAATACGTCGATTAAAGAATTTTAACAAGTTTATCAAAAAATATTTCAAAAATTTCTCTCATATATCATCAAAGTTAGATACCTACATACACAATATTGATTTAGAAAACAGTTTAAATGTCTTTGGGTATATCATAAGAATGTTTAAAAATAATCATTACCAATCAATGTTTATTATGCTAATGTAAATAATAAACAGTATTATGATGTATGTATAATATAGTCAAATTCGCTTATAACGATCTTAAAGGGATCTAGAGCATCTAATCGTTATAACCCCAACTTCGTTATATCCGAATTATAAAAAGTAACTACACATAAGATATAAAACTAACCAAATATATTGCTTGGTATCGTTTTACTCGGAATATCGTTATATACGGTATCGTAATAAGTGAATTCAACTTTATTTAGTTTCCTAATCTAAATAATTACTCTTACTTTTTACGTTACGATAAATAGGTAATATCGATTTTAACTTCCTTAGAGTACCAATAATTGGCGTAGATATCTCAATAATTTAAACATTTTAAACATAATAATATTACAATAATTTCAATTTGAAAAGATAACGTGCGTTGAAAAATTACGTTTTTGTTTGGGTATAACTACGTCAAAATAAAAAGTCTATAATGATTTTCACTGTACTATACGTACACTTGCGCCACTAACGCTACCACAGTCATTTGGCTGTGTGTTTATCAACGTGTAATAATTTATTCCGCCCTTCGTCAGCCGGGACGAAACACAATACAATAGACTAAACGTGCGGGAACACACAAATACATCCTTATCTGTTGATCGTATGTATTTCAAATTCAATGTGTACATGACATTCTTCGACCGAGCACGCGCCAAGAAACCATCTTATTAGTTACAATAATAATAATAAAAATACAAGTAAAAAAAAAGTTACCCTGCAGTTCATAAATATTATCAGCACCACGGCGCACTACGACACGCTGCTCCAACCATATGGTAAAATGACATTTATAAAATGGTTATAATTTGAAGTAGTTGCCACCGTCATAGTTGACAGACGTGTGTAATTTATATAATTGTTTATTAACTTAAAGAATTGATCTATGGTACCTAAAATGCATGAGAATTAAACTAAACGAAAACAAGTTAATATATTGCAGTTTTATTGTATAACCCTGAGCATGTTTCTCCTTGAACTTTAGCCACCAATGAAATAAAGTACTTACTCGTTATTTAAGAGTGATATTTAACCGACGTCTCAGCTGGGTAGACAATTTAAATACTAAATACTTAAAGATAGAAACAGCTTGATAAATACTACTTTACCTATTAACGTCCAAATATACCAACGCAATAAACTACTTATGTAGGTACCGGTTCCTCCCTTAGCCAATATTTATCTAAACATGTTGCTATACAAGTTTTAAGCTAGGAGAAATCATAGGTATTGTTTAGCTATTTCAATCTAAAATTCTCGGTAATATCACAAAATATTCCTTTCCGTAGTAACCTTAGTATTTTTTTTAAATTTTAAACGTAATATAAGTATATCATACGTGCTTTCACCCAAATCCATTTGTGAAATAGTTAAAAAAAAAAATCATATACAAATAGTCCCAGCGACCGCTAGAGATAGTTGAAATAACGCAGTATCAAGTCATTTAAATTTTATATAATCATTTATTTTATTTATTGTGAACGAATTACAGATTATAAAAATGGTAAGCAAAAAGTCAATTGTTTTTTTGAAGTAAACTAACCGAAAAACGAAATCCTTATCGATTATTAAGGACTATTTTGCATTTATTTATCGGCTAAGATAATCATTTAATATTAGTGTAGTACAACTTAAATATATACTTATCATCCTAGTGTAAACAAAATTAACAAGTAGACAATTGATTATATAAACTATAACACTTTGACGTATTGATCTGATTTTTCGATTTGTACATATATGGAGCGTATAACCGAGGTGCTTATGTATTGGCGGGTTCTTGAGTTAGCGCATAATATATTTTATTATAATTTTATACTCACGTTTGATATTCTCGTACATCTGTCAGATCTACCGATGATCGATGGTATCGTATCCAAAAATTCGGTGTCATCACATCGAAAAATAACATAGGTGTACAAGTGTGCGCGTGAAAGAAATTGATAAAAAAATTATTAAAATATTAACAATATAAACGTGAAACGTGTAAAAAGATCGATTGTACGAGTCTGTAATCAAGACGTGATCAAAAAAATGTACTATACATTTATAGCCGGTGTATACGCCACTATTAGATATTAATTAAAAACATTATTGTCATCATATACTATTTTACTACGTTATGCGTGTTACGTGCACGCGCGCGGAGGTCTGACGTGCTGCGCGAAGAGTCAAACGAGAACTGAACGTTGCCGGTAGTCGAACGGCGACGACTGGTTCGAGCGCGCGTTTCGTATACATAGCTGCTGGTAGAGCGAGGTACACCTATATGCGTATGTATATATATATATACGCATGGTATATGTATATATATATATATATATATATATATATATGTATGTATATACGACGACGACGTGTTATTTCCATTGCCATTTCGACGATTTACAGCTGCTTGCCCTGCCCCATTATACACACGTTATATATATTATTATGTATATATATATATATATGTATGTATATATAATGTCGCGCCACCTTTTGTATACTATATTTCGTTCCTTTTTTTTCTTCTTTTCTTTTCTTTTTTTTTTTTATGGCATTGTAATACCTGTGCCTTTTCGGTGTTACCTGCGAGCTCGCGCGCGCGCGCCAGCGTACATAAGAAATCACCCCGCACGGCATTTTATAGCGCATAGCATCGTTTGCGGGGATTTAATACCTACTTTTCGCGTACACGCGTTTATATACATAATAATAATAATATATGGATGTATAACGCACCCGATCGTTTTCTCGGGGCACACTCGTCGCATAATAATAATAATAATAATAATGATAATATATAGCAATTCGTTATTATGCATATAATATTATGTAGATCATGAATTATGATACTCGTGTAGGCCAGATTGGTTGGGTTAGTTTAGTATTGTATTGTGTTTAATTAAAAACGTTTTGTCTAAAAGAGTCATTTTACACCGAGACAACGACTACGATATTCATATACATACATTACATTAGTACGACTAAAATGCATACGATTATAAGTATATGATATATTGTACAGTACCTATCGAATACTACGACGAACGCACTCTCTGTAACGGAGCTATACGAAGTCGTGGGACATGATCAACCCTTATAATATACTCTAATGAGTTTGTTCTCGGGTTATAGTTTCAGAAAAAACGTATAAATCACTTAAAAACCTGACATTTTAAGAGTATTTCAACTTGTATCGTCAACATTCGTACTGCTACTTCTGCTATGTAGTGCATTATAATGAAACTGACAATTTATTATGTTAAGACGTGTCACGTAGTATCGCGTCAGACGTAGTTTTCAAAAACCTATTCTGACAAATGTACAATTTAAGTAACATAATACTTTGCCTAAGACGAAATACGTCGATATCATATAAAAAGATTAATTTATAACACTTCATGGTTAAATAATACCATAGAAATTATATGTAAATTAAGTTGATGAAACCAGACAAACATGAATATAATTACTTAATGTTGAGCTATTTCTGTTTTATGACCTATTCAAATATGGGATTATAAAGTCACAAACAAAATAAACTCTAAATAATCTAATAATATAATATATATAATTAAAATTTTTTTCATAATGGCAATGAAACAACAATTTAATATCTTTGCGTTAAAAGACCAGCATAATTATATTATTGAATAATATATTTCTGTTTTTAATTGGTTATTCATTTTAGCACTGTTAACAAAGACTATTTCAATAATTTCCATTTCTTTGTTTAATATTTAAATTTAATTACAATTATGGTTATCGTATGCATCACTATATTGAATAATGAAGAAGAACAGATAATAAATAATATAAAATAAAACTATACATATAGTATTAGAATTAAAATAAATATTATTTTTATAACTTAATTTTTTTTAACAAAAGTTCATGTGCTTACACAATTGAAATTAATAAATGTATTTTAACATTTAGAATTTCAGTTAAAAATATATTGTGACAATAATTATCTATATATACCTATTTATTTTATTATACAATATAATATATATGGGTGTACTATACTATTATAGCATGTGTCAGTCATGAACATATTGATTAATGTTTTGAATCAGCCATCCGGTATTTTATTTAATAAAGGTGATCAAATATCAAAATCATAAGTCAGTTTGCGATGTTTCATCATGCAGAAAGTATATTATAATAAAACCCTTTTAATACCCTACTGGGTGTATACTATCTATAACCACTGGCCCGTTAACTTTTTGACCATACTGTTCTCATTATATATAACAATAATTAATAATTATACACAAAAAGCATATTATACAATACACATATGTATACGCACGTAAATATTTTATAGGTAGCTATACATACTTATTATTAATATTAGCTCACAAACCTATCAATTTGATAGGCAAAATATTATAATGATATAAATAAAACAGAAACGGTGAAATATATATAGGTATACCTATAGAATACGAATACGATTCGTTTTTACCGGTTTTATACTTACGTGTATACTCTATGTATCTCCGTTCGTTTTACTACTGTTGTAAAACAAATGAGCATGCTTTTTGCACGATGCCCATACTCGAGTATTAGACGTAAAACTTTGAAGTATCTACTTACGGGATTTATAAATTACACTTCATCATAGATATATATATATTACTCAAAACGCAGTTAATTATAATGCGCTCAAAACACAGACTAATGTACTTGCGATCCAGACAATAAATAGTTTATTTTACAATTTAATTAGAAAAACATTTTATTACACAAGTAAAAATTTAGCATGAATGAAACGGCGATTCATATTCCGGACAGGGGGGACACGAAAGTGGTCACGAGATGGGCGTTTAACGGCCCATGAATCGCAGTTTGGTGTCATTTACAGTGACTTTAATGCCCGTCAACCCCGCTGCCACTGGTAGGTAGCCCATTTGCGACCGAGGGTGCAATTCGTATGGCCCCGATTACAGTGTATATTATACAATAATGATAATGGTAATGATAATAATAATAAGTAATGTATATTTTAAATGTCATTATTACAATTGCCAATGCAATGGTTGCAGTGAACGTGAAAAGTAATGGTTTTATGTATGACATTTTATGTTTCCATAGTGAGCAAATTGTCATAACATTATAATATATTATATTATGTGTTTTTATAAACTGTAATAAAAATAAACAAATAAAATAAATGGTTATCAATTTGAACCTGTATGATAATTTTTAAAAGACAGTAAGCTCTATGTACAGATTGCCTACATTGCAAATGAATATTCGGAAAAGACTGCTTGTTGATTATTTGTATTAGATTATAGTGCTTTATACTTTTAACAAATTGTCTACCCTTGGGCTATATCATAACATGATTTTATTATGCATGTAGAATTAAAATCAAAAGAGGTGACATCAATAGCCATCATACGTTATGTTTTACAACGCTGCAACATACAATATATTGTTTACATATTATATACATATCAGTCATTTAAATATATATTTGTATTTGTCACAAATAAAATAGCATTATAATATGCAAAGAATATAGATCAACTATTAAAGTATTGTTGACCAATAGTATAATAATAAATAGTTATAATACGTATTATAATATGTATATGCATTTATTGTTATAGATAAATGCACCTATACGTTCATGATACATGATATCAATCATTAAGTTTATTGCAATAATAATAAAATGTAGTCTAGATTATTTTTGATGGCTCAATTATGAATCCCGCATTATATTATAATAGAATACAATGACAAAACATCTGACAAATTGACCTGCGTTAAATTACACAAAAGAAAATAATAACAATAGTGGGATTATTGTTATTTTTATATTGCTCTTCGTTTGGTATTTAGACAATGATTTTCATACTAGACATCAAGCCAGTTTCATTTATTGTGTAGTATTATAATATATAATAAGCAATAATATATATTACATTATTATCGTATGCAATGTGCATATATCATGATCATGATTCATGGTGTATATATAACTAACGCATCCGATAAGGACGGGGAAGAGCTTTAATCCTTTCCGTTTTTTTTTTATAATAATATTTTATATATTATATTATCTATACATTGTATAAAATAAAAAGTCTTGACTGATTGATTTATATAATTAACATTTAATATAAAGCCAAAGTTATAGTAGTTAGAGCCTTTAAATTATCATAGTATTTAGCATCACCATGTAAGGGTGCACAAAGAAAATATTTTTGAAATTCATATTTTAAAAACGTGCACACACAAAGAGTTTTTGCTTAGAAAAATTGAATACATTTTTGTTTATACGAGTATGAGGTAGTCATTGGTTGCAGAAAATGATATAATTACGTATAACAATAGAATATAATTTTAGACTTTTATTATATAGTTTATTAAAACTATCAAAATAGCAGTATTAAAAATCTGTGTAATTTCCATTTAACATAACTTAAAATTAAGTAAATTTATGTACATTTAATTTGTCACGGATAACGCCGTTCAGGATCAGTTAATATTATCAATTATTTATTTAATATCCGCAGCTAAAATATATAGTTTCTATCATTAAAAATACAAAATGAAAATAAACCATTTATTTTTTGTATTATATACGTAGAATATAGTAAAAACCTATCAACGTGTTTCTTTTTTTTGTGATTGTATATTACTGAAATAAGGTGTCATTACAATATTACCTTTTATAACAATTATATAAAGAATAATATTATCTGTATTTTTTTTAGAAGTAATGTTTATATTTTTATTTATAAAAAAGTTATAAATATTGCATTTTTTCAATATTCTAATTATTTTTAATAAAATTAATAGCGTTTTAAACAATTTAAATATTATAAAAGTTTCTAACAAATACAATTATTGTTTTTTTTTTTTTTTTAAATTATTATAATAAATTATATTTTAATAATTGAATCTGGACGATGAGTGTTATACAAGGAAGTTTAAATTATATTATACCCTTGCAAGAAAGGATAAAAAATATACTGGTGTATAAAATGTTTAGTTATTTAATAATTTATATTCAAGAAAATTATATGAATGAATATTTAGATTATTATACTAAAAACAATATACCTAGACTACTTACAAACATCAAAACTTAATTTAACTTAGCCGGTTTGTAACGAACCGAAAATATGGATAATATCAAAAATATATACTTGTATGGAACAAATGTATTGGTTTTGTTATTGAATTTTTAT